GCTTTCAGCACTTCTCAATAGGTTCAAACGTTACAATGCATCAATATTTACAAATTTTGCATTCATTCGGGGCGCTGCCCGGAAAGTGGGTTATCGTAACCAAGGCAACGCGTGGTCTTAGCCCATATTAGCTTAGCTGAGCTATTGCATCACTTATCGGCGTTTTATGACTAAACCAATTACAACCAACAACACTCGTACTCTTAAGGACAGAGTACAGCATAGTACAGGATAGTATTGTCACATTTTGTCAAAATATGAAAAGAAAACTGCAACAGTCGAGGCATCATTGCCGCAAAGTCGAGGCAGCTGTCGTGAAGTTGTGGCCGCTGCCACGACTCGCCACGGCAACTCAACTTGCAGATAACAGTCGTACTCAAACTGTATTATACCGTCACATGTTGCATACATATGAATACTAAAATGAACGGAAACAGCCGCGGCACCTCTCCCTTAAACTCCCGGTACGTCTATCAGCCGAGGCACCGCTCCCTTTGGTCGTTGCAAGACTCCTTTAACTCGAGGTACCTCTCGACCGATGAACCGGCCCCTGAATTCGTGGTACCGCTCGAGGTACCTCACTCAGCCGAGGCAACAGGCGAGGCAGTTGCCGTAAACTGGAGGCAGTTGCCACGATTCGCCGCGGCGCCGCAACCTGCAACAGGAAGTGCCTCAGCGAGTTGCCGGTGCCACGATCCGCGCTAGCCCTCTCTCCTGAATTACAGGTGAATCGTAAACCACGGCAGACAAGACACGGGATGAAGGGATTTTTCTTTTTCAATTTCCCCTCTCTGAAATCCTAATTAGTCCTGATAGGAAATGTGATAGAGCTGGAGGAGAAAGATTGCTTTTATTCACTGTGTGTCAACAGGACTGATGGAATGAACAAATGGTACAATTGGATAAAAATTAAGAAAATAGCTCAAATGGAAAATAGTTGGGTTACTATTATACGGCAGAACTTATAATCTTATAAAGTCAAACCATTAAACAAGTTAAAGACAAAACACAGCAGAGTAAATGATAACAATGTTTAAAGAAAATAAATGGTTGCTGTCTGATGTTCTTCCCACTCAGACGGGCGAAATAAACTGGATTGTCATCAGACAGCTGTGGGAATCAGGCAGAATTGTTCAGCATCAGAGACCAAAAGCAAGAGTCTGTTACCTGATGTTTTGGGTCCTGTGTGTACAGATGTGTATGTTTGACTATGGTTCCATTCCTTAGTCAAAAAGAAAAGGTAAACAAAGCAGGGATACCGTTGATAAAAAGATCTTCTACTGAACCTTTTTACATTTCTTTTCATCACAGGAGTAACGTCTTGAGGTGGATCTGGACTGGACTCGCTTCGCCCGGCGGTTCCCTCCCTCGGAACGCCAAGTGCCACCAAACATGCCGAGGATGACGAGGAAGATTCCCTTTTATCTCACGAGTGAACAAATCCTGCATGCAGCTTTTTTGTTATTTCTGTGACTATTCTTTTAGAAGAAGAAGCAGAACTTGCATGTAGCAGTTGATTGATAACTTATTGGACTGAAGCGTCACGCGCTGATGGACTCGGTCACAGTTTCACTCCACACGCGTAATGATTACGTTCCATGTTGCTTATTCTAAGAGTGAAGAAGCCGTTTGTCCCGACATTGTACCTCACGTCGCTGCCCGTGTCTCCTGCCCCCCCCCCCACAGAGGTGGCTCACTTCAGCCCCGGGCGCATGTCCGAGAAGGTCCTGTTCCACCTGCTGCGTCACCCCAGCGTCAACCAGGAGGTTCCCTTCGACCCGAACAACCGGCTGAGCGCGGCTCACTACCTGTACACGCGCAACCACCCGGTGGACTACTTCATCCTGCTGCTGCAGGTCAGTGAGCCTCTGAGAGCCTCTGAGGCCCGTCGCTCGTCCGTCCCACAGAGCGGCAGGAAGAAGACGTGGAGCGCCGTCACGTGACCTCTGGCTGCTTCCTGTTTGCGGTGCTCAGGGTCGCGTGGAGGTGGAGATCGGGAAGGAGGGGCTGAAGTTCGAGAACGGAGCGTTCACGTACTACGGCGTGTCCGCGCTGACGCTGCCCTCTTCAGGTGAGCAGGAGGACTATTGATCTCCTTCATGGTGACGTCATCGCGACGGCTTCAACGTTGATGACGCGTTGTTGTATTTTATGAATGAATAACGATTCGTCGCGAGACAAGAATCACTCGGTTTGTCCGTTTGATCGTGATGACGCAGCTTTATTCACTCCGTGTTTCCATAACCGAGGTTCAAAAAGGAGGAGAAGAAGAAGCAGGACAGCAGATGTTGTGCTGACTGTGTGTGTGTGTGTGTGTGTGTGTGTGTGTGTGTGTCTGCAGTGCACCAGTCTCCTGTGTCGACCCAGTGTCTCTCTCCCAGGGATCCCTTCGAGTCCGCCGACGCCACAAGTCCGTCCAGCTATTGTCCCGACTACACCGTCCGAGCCCTCAGCGACCTGCAGCTCATACGGGTGCGTGTGTGTGTGTGTGTGTGTGTGTGTGTGTGTTCTCAGCCTTTGAGTTCTCAACTCATTCTCAGTGTTCATAGTACTTTTTCGTGGTACTTTTCACTAAAGTACAACAATCTAAATACTAGGGCTGCAACAACGAATTGATAAAATCGCTAAAAGTCGAGTAAAGGAAGCGTGTTGTGCTCTAGCGCCCCCTGTGGACTGAAGCGGTGTTGCCTCTGAGCACCAGGGTCCCTTCAGAGAACGTCTCATTTAACAGGAAAACAGAAACACTTTGTTGCTCCTCATTTGTAGCCGATTCTGATTGGTTGAAAAGAGGCGTGTTGTTAAAATGTTGAAGTGGTTTTATATTAGAGTGACATTAATGAACGTGCACTAACCCACTAATCGCTGCACGACGCTGGCAGGTGACTCGTCTCCAGTACCTGAACGCTCTCATGGCGTCGCGGGTCGGTCACAGTCCAGATCCTCCAGAGATTAAGATCCTGCCCAACAGTCAGACCAAGCTGCTCAACGACAGAAACTCACAGCCAGGTACGTTTCTCCACCGTCCTCCTGGAACCAACACCAGCGACAACGTGTCCACCAAACCGCTGTGAATCAGGACGCAGGTCTTTTATTCTACGATTTCCTCTCTTTATAAAGGAAAGCTTAGTGGACTTAAAATATGAAGCGTGCATGTTAGAGAGCTGTCAATCACAGTAAGCCCCGCCCTAAAGCATCACCTGCTTCATGGTCTGTTAGAGAGCTGTCAATCACAGTAAGCCCCGCCCTAAAGCATTCCCTGCTTCATGGTCTATTAGAGACCTGTCAATCACTTTAAGCCCCGCCCTAAAGCATCACCTGCTTCATGGTCTATTAGAGACCTGTCAATCACTTTAAGCCCCGCCCTAAAGCGTCCCCTGCTTCATGGTCTGTTAGAGAGCTGTCAATCACAGTAAGCCCCGCCCTAAAGCATCACCTGCGTCATGGTCTGTTAGAGAGCTGTCAATCACAGTAAGCCCCGCCCTAAAGCATCACCTGCGTCATGGTCTAATAGAGAGCAAAGAGGAAGGCGTTGTCTCTCCGTATCATAGCAACCAGATGTAAAACCTTCCTGTAAAAAGCGCTTCGTGGACACAGACTCTTTGTGGATGAATCGCACTCGAGCGTCTTTGTGTTGTTTCCTCGCTGCTCGTCTCCTGATGGCTGAACGATAATAATCTTCCTCTTTCTCTCCCCTCTCTGCTTTCGCACCTCCGTGTCTTCTTCTGTGGTCTCGTCCAGAGTTCCCCGTCAACTTTTCCTTCTTTGATACCATCGAGAATTACTGTTAGTATTTATTCATTTAATGTTTGTTTGTCTGCATGAGGTGAAATGCAGCCGTCTGAGGCGTGACAGCAGACACACACACACACACACACACACACACTCCGCTGTCCCCCTGTGTGCGTTCCTGTGTGTTCATGTGTGTTTTGGTGACGTTTAATTTCCTCTGCTCTTTCCCTGCAATCATCTCCCTTCTCTCCATCAGTTAAAGGTCGTGTCCGATCTGATCCACATGTTTATATCGAGGGCGTTAAAGTCTGAGACATGTGCCTAGAGGGTGAGCAGAATCGGATGGGACAGGACTGGATGGGTAGCCAATAAAAGGAAGCTTAAAAAGGCAAAGCTTGAACTGACTTTCCTATTGAACTTTTGGGGCTTTTATTTTGAAAAGCTATCACCATTGCTAGTTGCAAGTTGACATTTAGATGCTTCCATTTGGTAAAACAAGTCTCATCCTAAAATGCCCTGTGAAGATACAAATCATTTCTGGGGCTTTTATTTTCTTAATATATTTTTTATTTTGAAGGGCACCTTTCTTGAACTCCTCCAGCATGGCGTCCAGCTTGGTGTCGTTGAAGACGTAGTGCAGCGGGTGGTTGTAGAACTTGGTGATGGTGGTCATGGGAGTGCAGTCGTCCGGGTCCACCAGAGCCAAGTCCTTCACGTACAGGATCTCCACGATGTTGGACCTGGACACCAAACACACAAGTCCATGAGGTCGGTGTGTGTCACTGAAAGCTGTTCTTTCGTGTGCGTGTGTGTGTGTGTGTGTGTGTGTGTGTAGCGGTCACGGGTCGCTAAACAAACAGCAATAAGTGAAGAGCAGAGAAGGTTTAAACAATAACACATTATTTGTTTCATCATGGAAAGTTTAAACATAAACTTGTAGTTTTATACATTTTATAAATCTACACTTTGGTTGAATTCTTGTGAATTTACATATTTTTTCTCATAAATTTAAAACTTTTTTCCAACATATTCTCTTCTTTTCTTAAATTTACAATCTTAAAATGTGTGCAAAACGTCTTTCTCATAATATTACTAATAGTTAAAGGGCAGCGCTCCTATCTGGGACGAGAAAGTCACAGAAGTAGTCGACTGCGTCTTTCGGCGCGTAACGTTTTTTGGGGCCGTTGCCGTGCCAACCTCTCCTCCTCGTAGATGGGCACCCGGGTGTATCCGCTCTGCATGATGTCGGACATGGTGGAGAAGTCCAGGACGACGGAGCTGGGCAGCATGAAGCAGTCCTTCAGCGGGGTCAGGATGTCCTCCACCGTCTTACTGCGCAGCATCCCGCGGCTGAACTCCTCCTTCACAAACTCACTGGGGACGGGAGACGCGGTGAGGAGACGAAGGAGCTGCCGCGTCACACACACCTGTTCCTCCTCCAGGGGGGGGGGTGGTCATCTCACCTGTACGGGTCGTTGACGCTGGTGCGGATCATCTCCATGGCCCGCTCCCTTATCCCGCAGGTGCTGACGTCCTCGCCTCAGCGCCAGGTCCAGGATCAGCCCCAGGGGGCAGGACAGCGGGCAGGTGAGCACCAGGCACACCTGGGCCAGCCAGGTGAGCCCCGGCGCCATCTGGAAGCCGTAGCCGGAGCATAGCACGTGGGGGGCCAGCTCGGCCAGCAGGAAGACCAGGAAGCCGCTGGCGAAGACGGCGGAGACGACGGTGCCCAGCGCGCGGTAGAGGACGACGCCGAGGACGGCGTGTCCCAGGGCGCAGAGGAAGAGCAGGGAGCACGTCTGAGGGGACACTTGGATTAATAACACTTATTATGCATTTATAAATGTGAACAAAGTGAATGTACTAAAGTACTGTACTTTAAACATTGTACTTTCCGCTCTGCTACATGTATTAAATATATATAATATCCATATACAGCAGTGTAAACAGCTGCGACATTAAAATAACACTTATAATAATATGAAGGCCTGAGGTTGCGCGCAGTGAGTACATGTACGCGTTGTACTTCGCTGTGACGAGTACTTGCACCGTGGTTCCGCCCGCCGGGACTCACCAGGAAGTTCCCCCTCCTCCGGATGGGCTCCAGGCGCTTGGCGGCCCGCTTCTCCTCCTCGGAGCCGCAGCTGTGCAGCACGTAGAGCTCCACGGGGTCCAGCCACAGCAGGCTCAGCTGCACCGTCCTCAGCAGCGCCACCGCCGGAAGCAGCGTCACGACCAGCGCCGCGAGCCCCCAGGCCGGGATGTGGTCCTCCGGCAGACCCGAGTCCGCGCTGACCCGCAGCTTGTCCGGGCCGGCGGACGCCCACCCCCCGCCGCTCCGCACGCACAGGTGGTGGAGGGAGGAGGCGGAGGCGGGAGGAGGAGGAGGAGGCGCCCTGCCGCCGGACCTCCACCGTCGCCAGCCCGCTGTACGCCTCGTCCGCGGCGAAGGGGCCCGTCACCTGGAACCAGGAGCCGCGGCGGTTGGGCTCCAGCGCGCACGGGTCGGGCGCATCCCCGACCGCCCCGGCGCTCGCGCCCGCGGCGAACGCCACCCACGGCCAGCTCCCGTTGAGCTCCGTGCCGAAGAGACGGAGCTTGAACGTGGCTCCCTCCGGCGCCGAGAGGACCCGGTCGCTCATGTGCACCGGACCCGCCGGGTTCTCCAGTCGCAGCCCCAGAACCGGCGGGGCTTCCCGGCCGCAGGCGCCGAACCCGATCCCGCAGAGCGACACTATCATCAACAGGAACCGTAGACCCGCCGAGCTGGCCACCATATTGGAATTGGTCGCCCCGGGGAGCTGCGCGCGGGTCATGTGACTCGGGCCCCGCCCACCGGAGGGCGGGGGGGGGGGAGAGAGGCGGCAACTGAGCTGCGCTGGTGGCCATTTTGGTTCCGTTCGAAGAGGCGCGGCGCTGTGGCGCGCCTTCATTTTGGGGCCGGATGGCGAGTGTTTTTCGGGGCTTTTTGCTGCGCCGCCTCCCCCCGAACTCCGTGGTCTCCGGCGGCCAATGAGAAGCCGAGGAAGAGGAGCGAACGGCCTTCTTTGTTAACGTTCCACATAAACAAGTCATTCATCACTCCGGGCCGAATGGACGCAGACGCGCGTGCAAAGGTTGTGTACCCAGGCGACGCATTGCAAAACACAACGCGCGCGTTAAAATATAGACATTAAATAGAATGAAAGACAGTTCTGAATATCGTGAATATCTGGCCAATGGGAAGATATAAAAATACTATATTTTATGTTTTAAAAAGGTCTATTTGTAAGTGAACGTATATGAAGGGACCAATAAAAGGAATATGAAAGCTAAGTCTCTTAGGCCATATTCTGACAAAGAAGGCCAAGCGGGACAACACAGTTAATGAAATACAATCATTACCTTTCCTTTGGACTCTCAGAGGTCAGAGGTCACAAGGCAGTCAGCTAAAGGAAGTTTTTCGTTCAGTTAAGTCACGTTTTTTTGGTGGCGCATGTGAGTATTTGTTTCAAGACAGAAACATTCCAGTCGATCCTTCAAGGCGAGCCGTCCTTTAACAAACCCGTTATGATGATGATGGAGGACTTTGGCGAGGACATGAAAGTGAAAACCAGCCAAACAATCCAAAAAAATAACTTGAATCAGACAAGATTTTTATGTAGAGAAATATATCTCAGGTTTATTAACCTCGTGGTCTTTCCCCAACGCCTCACGGGCCACTTATGACACCGCAGGTCCGTCCTTCGCTCTTCGCTCAGTGTTGCAACAAATAAAAACTCACAAGTCAAACACGTTGAATATTAAAACACAACCTCCTGGCCACTAAATATATATATCATCACTTCAGCTCCGTGTCAGTTCATTAACAAACTGGACTTAAAGTATTCTCGTAAAGCTTCACTGTAAGTAATACAGCGTATTACAGGCTCTGGATTCAGCTTCTCTCTGAGCCCCTCCAGAGAAGAAAACATTAACCTCGTACAGGTCTGAACATCTCACCGCTGCGGGGCTACACCCCCCCCCCCCTCCCCCCGCCCCCCCGGTCACATGACAGGAAGGAAAAAAGAAGGTCTGAACAATAAAAAACAGCTCAGCAGGTTCGGACCGGCGGGCCAAGCTGCAGGAATTTTAATATTTCCAAACGGCGGGAGAGTCGAGACGAAGGCGCAGTGAAACGTGAGAAGGGGGGGAGAGTGGGGAGAGGGGGGAGTGTTTAAGACATTATAATGAGATAACAACTCACAATTACAAGTTCAGTTATCAGATATCATGTAACACGTAGTTATGAGATGCTGTTTCATTATTAAGACGTGGCCGTTTGGCTCTGGCGTCTATCAACAGACAAAACGAGGAGATGAGGAGTAAACGGTTATTGGAGGTCAACTCTGTGCTCTGTGTATGTTTATTGCTATTTGACGTCTGACAGAACAATAGAAATAAAACATATCGTTATAAATACAGCTATTTCAGCTGTTCTTTGTTTATCTCTTTATGTACAATGTATTTACAGTGAAATCACACAGACGGGAAGCGAACACAGTGTTTCTGGGTAAATTTAAAGCTGCATCTTAACAGCTGGAAGCCCCTTTCACCAATAAATACAACATTAATAAGCAGAACAATGGTTTGCACGTTCCCAGTACACTAACTGGTGGCTTCACTGGGAACCAGCAGGACCGACTTGAGCTACATGAGACCTCGGAGGCGGCTCCTCCTCGCGGGGGTCGGCAGGTTGCACGTCGGCGCCATCTCTCGACCCGCGGACGCGTTATTGCCGTTATTGGAAATGATTGAACGGTGAAACAAACCGGGGACTTTCGCCCACGTGTGGAGTCTAAAGTCTACACTTGTTCTACACTCATTTTGTACTATCTTAAGTATGCAGGGTGTTTGAATTCCCTTTTTTTGGGACAAACAGATGTTATAAAAATACAAAGAATATATATTGCATATATCGGTCACAATACGAGATGATTCTTTTTTTAAAAGCACTTTTCATTTCATCTGAATTTGAGATGGTACCAGGTGGCTGATGGGAAACGTGCAGATCCACAGGATGTGGTTTGCAAAATAAACCTCCTCTGTTCCTTCAAAAGTCTTAAACGCTTTGGAATATTCACCTCGTCAGACGGACTCACGCCTCTACAGACCAGCCCGTCCAACGTCCTCGTGTCTCAGTCCTCCTCTGAACGTCCTCGTGTCTCAGTCCTCCTCTGAATGTCCTCGTGTCTCAGTCCTCCTCTGAATGTCCTCGTGTATCAGTCCTCCTTTGAATGTCCTCGTGTCTCAGTCCTCCTTTGAATGTCCTCGTGTCTCAGTCCTCCTCTGAATGTCCTCGTGTCTCAGTCCTCCTCTGAATGTCCTCGTGTATCAGTCCTCCTTTAAATGTCCTTGTGTCTCAGTCCTCCTCTGAATGTCCTCGTGTCTCAGTCCTCCTCTGAATGTCCTCGTGTCTCAGTCCTCCTTTGAATGTCCTCGTGTCTCAGTCGTCCTCTGAATGTCCTTGTGTATCAGTCCTCCTCTGAATGTCCTCGTGTATCAGTCCTCCTTTAAATGTCCTTGTGTCTCAGTCCTCCTCTGAATGTCCTCGTGTCTCAGTCCTCCTTTGAATGTCCTCGTGTCTCAGTCGTCATCTGAATGTCCTCGTGTATCAGTCCTCCTTTAAATGTCCTTGTGTCTCAGTCCTCCTCTGAATGTCCTCGTGTCTCAGTCCTCCTCTGAATGTCCTCGTGTCTCAGTCCTCCTTTAAATGTCATCGTGTCTCAGTCCTCCTTTAAGTGTCCAGTTAGCAACGTTCTTCTCCCATGAAGACATGCAGCGGAATGTTTGTGTCCACTGGAGGTCAAAGGTCGACCGACACGCGGGTCAAACGGCAGTCGAGAGAGATGAATCTCTGATGTCGTCGGTTTAATGAGTCACAGTAAAGAGCTCCGTGGGGAGTGGAAAAGGACCCATAATGCATCTGTGCGGCTCGCTGGGAGACGCCGTTTGGACTTATGGTGGACGGATGTCTCTTTTTTCTTGTTAATTTACAACTTTAATTCAGAAGATTCTCTTTTTCTCTGAATATCCCCCCACTGAACGTCCAGCTTAGTTTAAATCACTGTGTGAGGAATATTAGATCATATTGAAGTACTTCAAGTACTTCAAGTCAATTCCAAGAACCGACGAAGGCAAAACAAACAAATAAAATCTCTAAAATATAAAACAACACATTTAATGTCAATATGAATATATATATAATATAAATGAATATAACACAAAATAAATATTCTAACATCACTCTTAGAAATTGAATAATTTAAAATACATATTGCCTTGGTTCAAGCGGGAGGCCGTGACCCCCCTCACACCACTAGTAGTATTAACCTAAAGCATCGTACCCGTATTGTTCATTTGGTTTCCTTCCTGTGGTGAATGAAAAACTAGTAGGGCTGGAAATATGCTCGTTTAATAGCATTTTAAATGTAGTACGCTATTATTACTTAATTGTGGAATAAGAACCTAAAACGATAATTAAATCAGCCAATTATTTATTATATTCATGTGTCTTTAAAGAGCAAATGAATAATCTAAATAGAATTATAGGGAATATGAAAAGTGCAAAAGTCTTGCAATGAATTTCGAGCTCAACAGAAATAAATAGAAACCAATTGATGCCGTGAGGTTAAATAAGTAAATAAATCTGGGAAACTGCAGCAAAACCAAAGTTGTCACGGTTTCTATTCGCTGGTTAAACTTTTCACTGCAGTGACTCGGGTTCCTCCATCAATCCGCCTCAGAAAACGCATTTAAACAAACTGCTGCAATATAAGAAACCTACTTTTACAAAAATAACTCTTTGGAAAAAGAAAAAGCTACTAGTCGCGACTT